GCATCTAATGCCATATCATTTGGTCCAGCAACTGTGACAGGCAAGAGCGTCCTGTTCTGAAACCATGTTGTCCGAGGTTATGGAGATGCTGTGATTCCATGTATTTTGTGATCTTACTTCTGAGCACTCTCTCAAAATTTTTTATGATGTGCGATGTTAGTGCTATCAGTCTGTAATTTTTTGCCTCTGCCTTATTTCCTCCTTTATGAAATGGTGCTATCTCTGCTGTTTTCAGCATGTCAAGGATAACACCAGTATCTAGGCTTTGTCTCCATAGAATGTGAAGGGCCTGCGATAGTGGTTTTTTACAGTTCTTGATGAATATGGAGTTCCAAGAATCCGGGCCTGGTGCAGAGTGCATAGGCATACTGTTTATGGCTTCTTCAAAATCCAGAATCCAGATGAAGTCTGATATACGATTTGATGTTGGTATCAAATCGTATATCAGACATCAATTTGATACCAACAATCGTTGGTATCAAATTGAGGTTGAAGTCCCCAAGCAAGATGATGTTCGGGGCATGATTTGTGAGGTTTTCCAAGCAGTGCTCTATTTTCATTAGTTGGTCTTTAAACTGCTGAGGGTTTGCCTCCAGTGACTTATATACATGGACAATAACTACATTTAGGATCTCTATTTTGATAATCAGCACTTCCACCATAACCAGGCACACGCATTTCTCTTCCACCAGTATGACTAGGTGCGCACACACACACATCTCAAAATGGCGAGAGCCAAAGGGGCTCTCCACAGAAACAGCATTGAATGTAATGAAATACCGTTTTCTAGGCGAGCCCTAGAGGTTCCCTGTTGCTATTGAACTGATATTAGCTATAATAGTCTAGGTCTTCGGTCAAATGGAGTTCTGCCTACCGGGAACCACGAGCCAGAACATGGCTCCCTCAGAGAGGAACAGGGAGCAATGGCCTATGAAAACTTCACTCTTTGAGAGTCATGTCTGCCACTGAATGGAGTGAGGCACCCAGAAAGGTATGCGCCCCAAAACAGACCCCAACTAGTTAGTAGAAAATTGCATCCCAAGACCGAACAGAGCCCCCCCACCCCCACCCAATCGGCCGCATGCTCACTAGTTCATCGATTGAAGCCGGCTGGGGCTGACGTCTCTTCTGGCCTCATTTTTCCTATCAGGATTTTACCCTTGTGGTTGTATTAGCTGTGTGTTGGGGCGTTGACTAGGAGTAAGCGGTACTTCAGGCTGCATGTGCTTAGGGTTATCTATAAGTACTTCCCTCGGGTCTCTGGGTTATCTTCCCCCGTTTCCAGTTCTCAGACTCATAAGGGTTGTTGTCGCTTGGCATCGACCTCACCCTTAGGGTCAGCGGGGCCTTGGTGCTTTCATTTGGCCCTGGATAGTGTGTTTGTTGCTGGTTGGAGCTCACGGTGCTGCGCAGTTCGCATACTAGCAGCGGCCTCCCTCCGCAGTGGTCTCTCTCTGGCCTCCTGTTGCTTTGGTGCTCTTGGGGTTTCTTTTTATTTCTTTTAGTGTTCTATTTTGCCTGGTGGAAGGCTGCATGGCTACCTATTAGGCATGCCTAAGTTCCATTTGGTGGTATTCCTCTTGATGCCTGAGGTTGCTTCCTTCACAGGGGACAGTTTATCCGGTAAATAGACAGGGCTCAACCGGCTTTGCAGCACCGGTGCCCGAGCCTTCCATAGGGACACCTACTCCTGTGGGCCTACCTTGAGGTTACCTTGAGGTGCTTCCGGGGCTTAGTGTCCCCGCGGCCCGGTCGTCGACCAGGCCTCCTGGTTGCTGGACTGATCAACCAGGCTGTTAGACGCGGCTGCTCGCAGCCTGACGTATGAGTCACAGCCTGGTTGATGAGTCCAGCAACCAGGAGGCCTGGTCGACGACCGGGCCCAAGAAACCCATATCTTGAGATGATTTCGGGGCTTTTAGTGTCCCCACGGCCCGGTCCTCTACCAGGCCTCCAACCCCAGGAAGCAGCCCGTGACAGCTGACTAACACCCAGGTACCTATTTTACTGCTAGGTAACAGGGACATAGGGTGAAAGAAACTCTGCCCATTGTTTCTCGCCGACGCCTGGGATTGAACCCAGGACCACAGGATCACCCTTGTCAGGGCTCGGGTGACAATGGTTATGCCTTCCAAGTCCCATCTCACCTTGTGCGAGTTTGAAGGTTGTTTGTTGCCCTTGTCTCAGGGTGACAAACATCTGTTTTGTCTCCATCAAGCTGCTTGTTGGGTCAATATTTGGGCGGGACATTTTAGGGGTCAAAAGGCTGTCGTATTGCATGCTCGGTTTTTGTTGGTGCAACGCGCCAAGTTGGTCACCCACTTGAATGCCCCGGGACTGCTCCCCCCCACCTTTTTTAGGGACCCAGATTTGGGGGCGTTGGTCGCTTCGACCTTGGTTCAGTCCTCACCGTCGAGTCCTTCCCCGGTGGGCGTGGTTCGCACTGCTCCTCCTCCCCTGCTACCGGCTCCCAAACGTCTGAGGTTTTCGGAGTCGGGGCATGGTTTAGTTGGGGATGAGACTCGGGTGGTCCCGGGGGCTGCCCCATTCGATGCGGAAACAGAGGCCTTTGACCCTGATCCTCCAGATAAGGTTTCTGGGTCGTCCCAGCAAATCCCCTTCTTTACTGCCTTTTCCTTGGACTCTACATTTTCTTCAACGGGTGGAGGGCATTATCTTGATGTTATCTTGAGATGATTTCAGGGCTTTAGTGTCCCAGCGGCCTGATCCTCGACCAGGCCTCCACCCGCAGGAAGCAGCCCGTGACAGCTGATTAACTCCCAGGTACCTATTTACTGCTAGGTAACAAAGGCATCAGGGTGAAAGAAACTCTGCCCATCGTTTCTCACCGGCGCCCGGGATCAAACCCAGGACCACAGAATCATGCGTCCAGTGTTCTGTCCGCTCAGCCACCAGCTCCCTGGCGTGGAGACCAGTTCTTCTCCATAGCATGGATTTGAGGCTTCCAGGGCTTGGGGGAGGGGGATTTTCCTCTGGTGCTGGGGCCCCATTTCATCCTGCCTCTGATCCGGACTTTACCTGTGTGATGGACCAGGTCACTCTTGAGTTCAGATCCTTTTTTTCCATACTGGGTGCTTTATGAGGTTCTGGCATCTTCCTGGCTTACAGAACGCAGTTTTTTATCGCTTAGGGCGTTGCACGGTTTTTGTCGTACCTGCACGCTGGATTGGTGGGCGCTTACAGCTGTGTGTTACAGGTTTATTGGGGGAAGGGGGACTTTGAGCACCTTATTGCATGCCTTTACACCACCTGTGCTTCCTCTGAGGCTGGCTTGCTCCAGTTGCACGCTTAGGTCCCCCCCCCCCCTTTCGGCTGTTTTGGTTGCGGAGGATCTTCGTACTCGAGGTCATCTGGCTTCTGTGCTGCCTTTCTTTTCCCTTTTCGAGCTATCCTCGGACTGCCTTGTGGAGGATATGGAGGTGTAGAGTGCCAAGCCGTTGGCCTCGGCTGCTAGCATGTCGGCGGTTTTGTTGAAAGTGTATGCGCCTATTCCCCGGGAGGCAGTGTCTCTGTTTTTTGCCTCGCGTGTTGGCAGGCTGTCCTCATTCTCTCTTTTGATTTGACGTGGGCCCTGGCTCTTAAATTTTCATCTCCTTTCAGTTTGTCATTGTTCTCGGACACAGTTGTTTCTCAGTTTTTGCAGGCGGCTTCTACTTGTTGTCGTCCTCTTTCCAATTTGATGGGGATTCGGGTGATTTCCGGGATACAACGTCCTGCCATTCGCTAGGACATTGGACACTCCCCAAACGTGAACGGCCAGGAGATCCAAACCCCAAGAGCTCAGCAGACGAGTCACCCGAAGCCACTGGCCCCATAGAGCCAAGGACCGCATCGAACCCCCGCGATTCAGGCAATGAACCACCGGGGAGCAATCCGAATGGAGCTGGATCGTCGATCCGCAAGTGACCCGAACCCTCCTGAGCAACATCCACACCGCCGTGAACTCCCACACCGTGCTATGGGCCCGACAGAAGGACAGACCCCACCTCCCCTGGCTGGCCTGGTGAGCACTGGTCGCAAAACCCCAGCCAAGAGACATCGCGTCCGTGACTCGGTCTATTCGGTCTAGCCCGTCTGAGGTCTATCCCCGTGCCCATGACGTTCGCAAGTTTGCAGCTTTTGCTGATGTTTTTGGAACTACAGTATGTCCTGGGTTAACATTCGGGGGCGGGGTTTTTGGAGGTCTAACAGGGTCCTGGCTGCGCGTTACTTGGTAAACGTTCTTGGGCCTAGTCGGGCCTGTGTCGCTTTGGATCGGCGTATGCAGTCAGTTGTCTCGACTTCACGTTGAGGAGTGAGCAGTGACCACCTCCTGGGTAAGTCCCTATGGTTTTCATCTGTGGGGTAGGCAGCTCCGGGGAGCCGACGGGGCTCCCCCCAAACAACCAGCATTGAATGTAATTAAACAGCATTTTCTGGGCAAGTCCCAGAGGCTCCCCGGCAACCCTCCCTCCCTCCCCCTAGTTGGCGGTTTCCGTATGTTTTTGATATCCAGCCTCAGAACTGAGGTGTAGATGGGGCCTGGGGCATGTGGGGTCTGGGGCTCCCCTTTTCCCTTCCTTGGGAGGGGGAACCTGCACAGACGGCAGTGCGGTGACGTGTGACATACTCATTTGCCCGTTTCTGTTCACGGAGTTCTATACACTTGTTCAGCTTTTTGTAGCAATTTTCACCAGAATCGGGGTTTGTTTTGGAACGCTTATCTTTCTGGGTGCCTAACCCGGTTGATGGCAGACATAGAATGCTTCCAACCACACGGAGGTTTCTATAGGCCATTGCTCCCCATACCTCTCTGAGGGGGGCCAGGTTCTGGCTTGTGGTCCCTGGTAGGCCCACAAAACTCCATACACTTGACTGATGCCAAAGTCTGACATTAGCATATCAACCTGGATAGCTCCGGGGAGCTGACGGGGCTTTCCCCAGAAAAATACAAAACTGGGAAAACTAAATTAAATTTTTACCAAATATATAATACATACCAGGCCATTTCTGTGCTGGGTAGAGATCATTCCACTGCTCAGCCATATTCTGGTAGTGGACATCATAGCTGAGACCACGATAAAATTCCGAACCAACAAAATCTACATCGAATGTATCCCAGAAAGGTCCAAAAGGATTACCCTCTTTTGCATTGCAGCCAATAGAGTTGTGTCGAGGTACATAGCAGAAAGCTGTCAAGACAAAAGAGCACATCATTAATAATGGCTAAAGAGTCACGTCCAATAGTTGTTTATAGTATAAAAATATCCTGACACTACAATAATTACCTAATAGAACATCTAATACTTTTTGTTGCCCAAACCACACACTAGAAATTGAAGAAACGACGACGTTTTGGTCCGTCCTGGACCATTATCAAGTTGATTGTGATGAGACGATTGTGATGGGAGGCAAGGGCATTAAGTAGGCAAGAGAGAGGTGAGGAGATGGAAATCTCAGAGGAAGATAAGAGCAAGGCAAAAGTTACAGAAGGTAAGGTGTAAGGTAAGGTGATCTAATACTTGTAAGAACACATTCCTTCATAAGTCATAAGTAGAGCAAAAACATGATAAGGAATGATCCCAATTTTACACTGAGACACGTTCTCAGACACAGTGTTGAATTGAACTGTGAAAAATATGGTTAAATGCCTTGATAAGCTAGAACAAGCTCTCGGAAAATTTTTGTTGTGCATAAAATAATAAAAATATTATGTACAGGTGGATCCTTAATCTTACAGGGAATTACTTCCTGTAATGTCTTTTACCAGATAAAACCTTATTCAATTATATGCAGCGAAACAAAAATTTCTACCATTTCCATTATAAAGGTTACCAACAGTGTAGCACATTATAAATGTCTCCAACAGTGCAACACATTATAAAGGTTACCAACAGTGTAGCACATTATAAAGGTCACCAACAGTGCAACACATTATAAAGGTCTCCAACAGTGCAACACATTATAAAGGTCTCCAACAGTGCAACACATTATAAAGGTCTCCAACAGTGCAACACATTATAAAGGTCTCCAACAGTGCAACACATTATAAAGGTCTCCAACAGTGCAACACATTATAAGTCTCCAACAGTGCAACACATTATAAAGGTCTCCAACAGTGCAACACATTATAAAGGTCACCAACAGTGCAACACATTATAAAGGTCACCAACAGTGCAACACATTATAAGTCTCCAACAGTGCAACACATTATAAAGGTCTCCAACAGTGCAACACATTATAAAGGTCACCAACAGTGCAACACATTATAAAAGTCTCCAACAGTGCAACAAAATATTTCTCCGGCACCTTTGTTTCATTAGTTTAAATCTATGACCTCTTGTTCTTGAAGTTCCAGGTCTCGGGAATTCTTCCGTATCAATTTTATCGATTCCTGTTCCTATTTTGTAAGTAGTGATCATATCCCTTCTTTTTCTTCTTCCATCTTCTAGTTTTTGCATATTCATATTTAATGCCTCTAACCTCTCTTCGTAACTCTTGTCCTTCAGTTCCGGGAGCCACTTAACCCTTTAACTGCGCGGCCTCCAAATATGACACCCCACCCAGTGCGCAAGAAATAAAATCTCGGGAAAATTTTTTTTTTGTTCTGAAAGTGTCAAAAACCCCTCCCTGTATATGGGTATAGCAACGGAATGTCGAAATTGTACTTACTTTGGCTGCTATGGGGTCCGTAAGGTGGCGCGTGACGTCATCATTCCCGGTGCGCCCGTGCCGTAAGCTCCCGGGGCCGGTGGGGCGCTCGGGGCCGGTGGGGCGTTCGGGGCAGGGCGTGCGAGTTGCCGCGAATAAATTTTTGCACATTTTTGCGCACATTTCCATATGCAATTTATTACATTTTACGTGCTGAACCGATGTATGGTGAACACGTACACTATATTATGGCAGTAGAACATCCGTACTGTCCGTAGGTACTGTGTTACATGCATCACAAAAAAGGTACACTTTTCCTGCACTTATTTCTAATATATCACGCAGCTATATTTATATTTACATTATATATACACATTGTACAGTATCACACACTATACACATACTCAGTACTCCGAGAGTGTGTGATATGCTGCGAAACAGCCAATGGGGCAAAGTGACACCTTGCACTCCACGCACCAGGTAATTACCAAAGTGTAATTACCTAAGTGTAGTTACAGGATGAGAGCTACGCTCGTGGTGTCCCGTCTTCCCAGCACTCTTTGTCATATAATGCTTTGAAACTACCGACGGTCTTGGCCTCCACCACCTTCTCACCTAACTTGTTCCAACCGTCTACCACTCCATTTTCGAAAGTGAATTTTCTTGTATTTCTTCGACATCTTTGTTCAGCTAGTTTAAATCTATGACCTCTTGTTCTTGAAGTTCCAGGTCTCAGGAAATCTTCCCTATCGATTTTATGAATTCCTGTTACTATTTTGTACGTAGTGATCATATCACCTCTTTTTCTTCTGTCTTCCAATTTTGGCATATTTATTGCCTCTAACTTCTCCTCGTAGCTCTTGCCCTTCAGTTCTGGGAGCCACTTAGTAGCATGTCTTTGAACCTTTTCCAGTTTGTTGATGTGCTTCTTAAGATATGGGCACCACACAACCACTGCATATTCTAGCTTTGGCCTGACAAAAGTTGTGAACAATTTCTTTAGTATATCGCCATCCATGTATTTAAAAGCAATTCTGAAGTTAGAAAACGTGGCATAGGCTCCTCGCACAACGTTCTTTATGTGGTCCTCGGGTGATAGTTTTCTATCTAGAACCACCCCGGCATAACTGGCCGACCCCTCACAGTGTTCAAGAGAGAACTGGATAAGCACCTCCAAAGGATACCTGATCAACCAGGCTGTGACTCATACATCAGGCTGCGAGCAGCCGCGTCCAACAGCCTGGTTGATCAGTCCGGCAACCAGGAGGCCTGGTCGACGACCAGGCCACGGGGATGCTAAGCCCCGGAAGCACCTCAAGGTAACCTCAAGGTAACCCCCCCTAGATCTCTTTCTTTACCAGAATTCTTTACAGATTTCTCACATAATATATAGGTTGTGTGAGGTCTATGTTCTATTCCACATTCCATAACATGGCATTTATTAACATTAAATTCCATTTGCCAAGTGTTGCTCCATATACTTATTTTGTCTAGGTCATCTTGAAGGGCATGACAATCATCTAAGTTTCTTATCCTTCCTATTATCTTAGCATCATCAGCAAACATGTTCATATAGTTCTGTATACCAACTGGTAGATCATTTATGTAGACAATAAACATCACTGGTGCAAGAACTGAACCCTGTGGTACGCCACTTGTGACATTTCTCCAGTCCGATACATTGCCTCTGATTACTGCCCTCATTTTTCTATCAGTCAGAAAATTTTTCATCCATGTTAGAAGCTTACCTGCCACCCCTCCAATATTTTCCAGTTTCCAGAACAACCTCTTATGTGGAACTCTGTCGAAAGCCTTTTTTAGGTCCAGATAGATGCAGTCAACCCAACCATCTCTTTTCTGTAACATCTCTGTGGCTCAATCATAGAAACTGAGTAAATTCGATACACAGGATCATCCAGATCGAAAACCATACTGTCTGTCTGATATTATATCATTTCTCTCCAGGTATTCTACCCATTTAGTTTTGATTAGTTTTTCCAATACTTTCACTATTACACTTGTCAATGATACAGGTCTATAATTGAGGGGGGGGTCTTCCCTGCTGCCACTTTTGTAGATTGGAACTATAATAGCCTGTTTCCACACAGCTGGGTGTTAGTCAGCTGTCACGGGTTGCTTCCTGGGGGTGGAGGCCTGGTCGAGGACCGGGCCGCGGGGACACTAAAGCCCCGAAATCATCTCAAGATAACCTCAAGAAACACCTTCATCAGGGCTCTTGTAAACAGACGCCATTTTTTTTTTTTAAATCGTGGGCCAAACTCTCGGGTGTTATTGGCCTCAGTATTGAGTGAACAACCAAGCCTGTCGCACGCAGCATGAGCTAACAGCACTGCTGTTCAGCTTGTGACCACAACATCGCCTAAAAATGCCATAATATACTTGTTCATGCTATTATGTAGCGATGATATTATTACAGAAAACCCCTGACTGTGATAAAACTGACCAGGGTTCTGATAATAGCAGGATTGTGGTGATATTTAGCGCTGTGCGCCATGGAGGGAGGAGTAATGCTGTGGGAGGGATGATGGTGGCGTTGTCTTCTGACTGTGTGTGGCCACCTTTTATTGACTCCACTCAGCATACCAGCTTAGTGGTTCGCTATGGTGAACACAAATGTAGATACTTATATATATAATGTGTGTATAGAGGGTATAAACAGCAAGAGAAGGTTTGGAGCCGCCATTTTGGTGAGGGCGGTGGCGTCGTCTGCATGATGCCACCGTGCAGACGACGGTGTTGTTTACTGGTTACCACGATGGTCTTCGGGCACCATACCAGTTTATTTGTACAAGTATGGTGAATAAAACAGGTAGATATTTATATATAATGTGTGTATATAGCGTAATAACACCACACAGTATTGTTGGAGGAGAAATATTAGTGTGTCTAGCCTTGAGGACGGCAGCCATCAGCTGACTGTGTGAGGTCCTACGTCTTTGTGCCTTTACTCACCATACAAGCTTAGATGTACAGTTATGGTGAACAAAACATGTAAATACTTATATATAACGTCTGTATATAAGATATATAGCGTAATAACACCACACAGTATTGTTGGAGGAGAAATATTAGTGCGTCTGGCCTTGAGGGCAGCAGCCATCAGCTGACTGTGTAAGGTCCTACGTCTTTGTGCCTTTACTCACCATACAAGCTTAGATGTACAATTATGGTGAACAAAACATGTAGATACTTATATATAACATCTGCATATAGTGAATTATAGCAAAAACAGTATTGTGGGAGGAGAATGTGGGTGAATCAGATGACTGGAGGGAGGGCGGGAGTGGCTGGCTGGTACACGGCGGTCACTCCTTGTTACTTTTTGACTCATAATAGCTACTTAGTGGTTCGTTATAGTGAACAAAACATGCAGATACTTATATATAACCTGTGCTCATAGTGTAATAACCGACAAAGTATTTGTTCACCGATTGATGAACATAATTGAATCAACAATATGCACACCATATTTTTGAGTACAGCAATGATTCACTCATTTTATTATATAAATATATCAAAC